AATCGTTTCATCCTTGTTTAACGTAAGCAAACAACAAGGATATATGATTCACTGTGTTACACTGTGTCTGACTGTGTCCCTTGCTGGAAAGCACCCATTCTTTCTACACTTATAATTTTAAATTGTATATGTACACATATCTCAGCGATATATATTTGCCAATAATACATTTTTTGCGCATGTATAAATATAATACAGACATCTATGCTATCTCAAACATTATTCTTGAAGTAATTATTGTATTTACAATGATTACATTTAGATATAACAATGTGCATATTTTTTATAAGTAAATTATAAAATATATTTTGTTATTGGAACCTTGAATAAGTTCTCGCTGATTTTTCGTGAAAAGTAATGCTTTATTTTTAAAAAGTCGTAAAAAACGTGTCACTGAAAGTATTGCCCATCGCTAGCCACTACTTTTTCCCATCTTTCTGGCAGCATTTGAATTCCACGTCGGAAAAACAAACGTCTTTTGAGGCTATCCAAGAGTCGACCATTTTTTGGCATTATCATAAGAATGAAAGTGCTGCTCAGCCAGCCCATGTGCCATTGATCGGAAGGGGCAATGTCTGGTGAATATGGCGGGTGGGATAGGACTTCCCATTTAAACGTTTCCAAGTAGGTTTTCACCGGTTGTGCAACATGTGGCCGTGCGTTGTCATGTTGCAAAATCACTTTGTCGTGTATCTGCTCGTATAGCGGCCGTTTTTCCTTCAATGCTTGGCTCAAACACATCAATTGTAGTCGATAGTGAGCTCCCGTAATGGTTTCGTTCGGTTTGAGCAGCTCATAATAAACTACACCCAGCTGATCCCACCAAATGCAGAGCAGAAGCTTCGAATCATGGATATTCGAATCATGGCTTTGCCGATGATGTTGATGCATGGCCGAGTTTACCCCACAATCTTCTACGCTTAGGATTATCGTAGTGTATCCACTTTTCATCGCCAGTCACGATACGATGCAAAAACCCTTTCCTTTTCTGCTGTTAAAGCAACTGTTCACACGTGAAAAGACGTCGTTCGACGTCTCTCGGCTTCAACTCGTACGGCACCCAATGTCCTTGCTTTTGAATCATTCCTAATAATTTCAAACGTTTCGAAACTGTTGTGTGATCAACTCCTAATGATTCTGCAAGTTCAGCTAGCGTCTGACATGAGTCTTCATGCAGTAATGCCTCCAATTCTTCGTCTTCAAACTTTTTCGGTGCGCCAGAGCGTTCTTTATCTTCAACATCAAAATCATTATTTTTGAAGCGTCTAAACCAATCTCTGCATGTTGTTTCCGACAGAGCATGGTCACCGTAAGTCTAAACAAGAATTCTGTGTGCTTCGGCTGCAGATTTTTTTTTAATAAAGTAGTGTAGTAAAATTCCCCGCAAATACTCTTTTGTTGGCACGAAACTCGACATGTTTAACACTATGAAACGAAAAGTTATTTACACTTCGACAAGATGACATACACTGAATTTCAAGCTTGCTTATCATAGTTCCTTATCGATGTGTTCCCATCTTCAACTACACGCACGCAGTTGGAAAACAGCAAGAACTTATTCGAGATATCCCAATAATTATTTTTTTTACAATAAAAACACTGCTATACATTTTTAATATAAACGACATAAGATAATAATATATTGCTATTTTCTTATTATTCTTTACACAAATTTTTGTTCATTCCAGATGTATACTTCTCTCTTCAATTCTATATCTTCCAACTTTATTTTTATAATTTCTTTACATATGAGACAGCCGCTACGTGTGGTAATACAGGTGAAAAGATTGGTTTTCCGTCCTCATCCACGTAGTCCTTATAATTAATTTTATATATCTGATCGTAACCAAGTCGTTCGCACATCTTAGCGGAAAAAATGGACGTACAGTCTGCCCTGAGATAATGATATCCTTGTTCCTTTGCCATTTCCCTGCAATGTATAAATAGATCAAGAATATATCGTTTGCTCTCTTGAACGCACCTCTCACGTTGATCGATCTTTGAACATATCGCAAAAACAAAATAATATTTACGCTGTTTTTCCCATCAAAGTCGTCCCGACACCTCTTCCTCTCCAATTTGTGTCCACCGAAATTATTCTGACCTCCAGAATTTTAGAATCTCGAAACCGTCCACCCATGTTCACACTTTTATCCAGGTGATGCAGTAATCTCAATATCTTCTTAAATTTCGCGTTTTTACACGAACGTATATATTCTGGTTCTTCATTTGATAGAAGATTATCCATTTTGCCTGTAAAAGGAAAATCCATATCAATCTACAACTACATGAATAATTCATAGATATTAAAATTTGTTAAATTGCTAGTCAATTTAACTCGTGATATTACTGCGGTAGTTTAGTAGAGTTAGCGTTTCAAGACCGGAAATTTTTCGGCGCGCGTTTCTGTGGGACTACATACGTAGTATATAAATTCACATAAGAATCATACAAGCATTAAGATCCAGCTAGACCGTGTAAGGCTTCGATTCTATAGTTTGTGTTATCACATGTACGGTCCTATAATATATTATATTATATTAAAATGTATTTAATAATTAACCTTTATAACATGCACATATCCTTAAAAAAATTAACATTGTTGGTACACGCATACAAAATTTCTGGGATAAACTTCAAGGGATGATTCTCATAAAAAAAATTAACTTTTGTTAAGGAAATTGTATCCCCTGACACAATTAAGGAGCTATCTATTCGGTTGCGTGATGTCTGACAATAGTTCACGTTCTTTGATTTTGTTTTTGTAAAAAGATACCTTACAGTCGATCCAAACGAGGACATAGCTCCTTAAAAATGCATCAAAGGAGTGAGAGACTACAGGTTCCTTAATAATATTTTTTTGTTGATCTCTTTAAATATTTATCCTTTAAAGTTTCTTCTAAAGGTCGCGCTGAAATATTTTGTATTGATTAATACGTAGTTATTAAATTAAGCCGATAAAATAAGACACATACGCACACGCACTTAGTTTCTTTATTATTGATCATTTGCAATAATTTATTTTTAATATTTCGAACAACAGTTTTTTTCTCGATTTTTCTTACATTTCAATATTTATTGAGGGTGAAGTCGAGAAATTATTTTAAATATATTCTTGTGTATATAATATAGTGTGACATATAATCTGTATAAGTATATGTCTTATCATGCATTTTGCATGTTATCTTAACGACAGCTATAACGCAGATGATAAACCAGGAATTAATTCAAATATAATGTGAAAATAATGTATAAATGTATAATATGTAACGAATGTTTAAAAATTCTTCACTATTTTAAACATAAGTTTAATAATTATTATATTTAAATAATTTAATTTTTGTTTCGTTATTTAACAATAATTTAGATATCTTTAAAAATAATATTTCTGTTATGGAAAAACCGATTCTATATTACTTATTAATTATAAATTACTTAAACATTTATGTGTAATAGCAGTCGTGTTATCTAATAAAATTTACAAAAGTATCTGAATATGAAATCTTACTGTCTCACTGAAACTTATTGTCTAAATATAAAACATGTTATAGCTGTATTTCTAGTTTTTAATGAAGGAATTATATTTCTTCGACTCTTGTGTTATATAATCTTTTTTACGAACTTTGCAAATTAATAATTCTGCATAATAAAAGATAAAGCGAATGATATCTGGATAAATTCAGTTAATGTTTCTATATGTTTTCTGTTAAATTATAAATCTATTATTGCTGTATCAGCAATATTTTTCATTTGTAAATGTAATATTTTTAAATATTTTTATAGATATATTTTCCATTTTTTTTCTCTTTCCTTTTTTTATTTAAAAATATTAAATTTAAAAAAATATAAATTTTAAAAGGTATCTCCTTTTGTGTGTGTGGTTTTCGACTTTACTACTTTTGCTTCTGCTGTTATTTAACTTAAGCTGTTATTTACATATTATTTATTCATATTGTTGATTTTAAATCGCATTTTAAATGTATGATTAACATCTTCGCAGTACCGTTAACGATTTGCACACGTAGGTATAATTTACGAATGCGATTTTCAAATGTCGTATAATAGTTGTTTGTGCATTTTGATGTAGATACATATTTATCAGCAAATTACATGATATAATTATCTATTTTGAGTCACAACCGGTGTCGGATAATAACTCACGGTATTATTCGAGATCCGTAGCATTTTACGTAACCTCACGGTACCGTTGTATTTCTTTAGTCTCTTCTCTCGATGTGCATTTATTTGAATACAGTTAAGATACGTTTCAAATTAACTGACAATTTTTGCATCTGCTCAAGTGAGACGACACATCCATATTTCAAGAAGATAAAGATGCACATTTTTTTCTTTTATCTTTCATATATTAACAAATATAAATAAATTTATATGAAGAAACATTAATATATGTATATTAATAAATATAGCATTTTTATTTGGTTACAAATATGAGAGATTAAATTAATAAGAATAATATTTAATAAAATATTATAGACAACAGTAGATGGATAACAAATAATAGTAAAATCATTTTAATCACATTGTGTGATGTTATTATCAAAATGGAAATAAATATTCACTATTTTTGTCAATGAGAAATTTTTTTTTACGTCACTTAAAATTCTTTTCTGAGAATATGTACTTGATGACTATTACTTAGAAGATGCAATTGATTAAAATGACATAAAACGCAGGAGAAACGAAATTGCAAACACTATGTCAATTTGAAAAGAAAAAAAACATCGTCTTCATAAAGAAGTGTCTAATCGAGTATTCATAAAACTAACAAAAGATTACCACTACAGCTTTACCATTGAGCAGAACTCCAACAATTGTACCATTCGCGGAAACTGCCATTAGACTCATGTTATTTTCAAATGATGCATTGCAACAGTATTCCTCCAGTTCCGCACAAGTACTGTCTTCACCCTCCGGAATTAATTGAATGCTCTGATTCAGCGGCTCGTCTCTGAAGAAGAACCTCCTTAAGAATTTCAGCACTCTCAGTTTATTATCCTTATTAATTATCTCGATATGATAATCCATACTGTTGCTGGATCCGTCAGCCAAATCGGCCAACTGAAATAAAAACATTATGAAAATGAGAATATTAATTGTGAGACTTTACAAAAATTATTTGACATTATAAGAAAAGATTATAACATTATACTACAATTGTATATTTAGAAATTGATATTCTTTTTTTTAAATTTATTAATTTATTAATTTAATTAAATTTTTTTAGAAATTATTTAAAAAAATTAAAAGCGTTAATACGTATTAATTAATATTTTACAATAAAACAATCGAGAAGGAAGACATTTGATGAGATTATCTGACAAATTATTGACCTTGAATGTTGTTATTTAACGACTGATGTATATCTTACTTATTTAGACCTGATCGTACCTTGGGGTGTACATAGTTAATCGGGACATGAGACACGCGTCGTTCAATTCCTATACAATAGGAAATGTAAATTCAGCGTAATTTGCGCGGAACGCTGCAATACGATCCTCGAGTCGAGAATTCAGAGGAGACTTTTATACATAGAAATGATTAATGATGCGCCAGCTTATTACACTGTACGTGGATATGCGTGAGACAGTCTCATTTATACAACGCGTTCTATCACGAGCGACCATTCCGCGGTCAACGTCGTCCAACGTTAATTTGTCATTGATCTATTTCCAAGCAGTGATTTGTAAGAGTTGATAAGACTGCCTACGCGTGCAGATGCGATGTGCGCTTCCAGTAAAATTGACGTTATTTGTCGTCATTTTGACGTCGAAATAACGTTAGACACGTCATTTTGTCATCAAAATGACGACAAATAACGTCAGCTTATTTGCTGGGTCTGACACGGTTTGCAAACGTACATAGATATGCATATAAAATAACGTAAAATTAAAAATTCTCTGAAAATATTTAGAAAAATTTTTTTAATTTGATTCAATTTTTCTAAAATTTTGATTCAATTTTTTCTGACATTACACAAATGTCTTCTGAGACGTTTTACTCTGCTGCTACGTGATATCATGACGTGTTATTTAGAATGCAAGGAAACCTTGCTGAATGCAAAACTCCTTTGCCTTGAATGTTACACCGTTATTGTTCATCGTCATATAATTTAAAATGTCCTTCTTCTAATAAGTCATTTAATCATTTGCTAAATTATAATTTAAAATAATCACTTAATTGTGCTTAATGCGCTGATAACATGTGTCGCAATTAAAGGAGCCACTCTCTGAATATTACGCGTCATTACATTTACAAAAGGATATAATTGTGTAAGACGCGTTGTCATCATTCTAGTTACGTCATGTCAAAGGGAGCGTGTCATTACTTACATTAAAAGTTCTTACGGTTTCTTTCAGCGTAATTAATAATCTGCATAATAATTTCTGACATCCTACAATTACCGTGAGAAAATGATTAGATCATCTCGCACTAAGGCACTGCATTTACGCGTACATCATCACCAATGCAAAGAATGAAACTCATTCTATCCCTTAGAGAAGTATAATTTATTTAGGAAGAGTATCACACTCCATCAAAAATTGAAAACGATATAATTTTTCAAAGATACATGCACGACTCTCTTTCGGGAGTCACTTAATAATCTCTTGACCTAAGACATAACCGTATCTCTCGATACGAATATTTCGAAAATACATGCGAGGACAATCTCCATATTTTTTCGTAAAATAATACAGCGATATTTTAAAGAAAAAACGCGAATGCATAATATATATGACGAAAATAATAAAAAAAACTTATAAATAAAGACTATAAAGACTGATACATTTTTATAAATAAAGTAATATCCACGGTATAAAATATTTATGTGAATCATTTTTTGAAATACTTCAATAAAATATATTTCAGAAATATTTTGTAAATATTTTTAAAAATTGCAAACATTAAAATAAGAATCTTAAATATTTCATAAAAATATTTCAGAAATATTGCACAAATATTGTAAAAAAATATTTCAAAAACTTTGATTTTATGAACGTATTTATATCTTAGAAAGATTTTATGAAAAATTTCTGAAATATTTTCATTCTGCATGAGATTGTTTATCTATTCAATTGGGCTCAAGAGATGTTTCAGTCTTTACAGTCATAAAAAAGCAGAGCTTTAATAATTATATCTCTTCCGAAGTAAAATGTTCGACGTATTATGTCAAAAATATCAAATACTAATTTAGTATTTAAAATGTCAGAATATGCACGGATTATTATTTCAATTCTTATCTCATCTTATTCATTTAATTTCTTACCGAGTATCTCGTAATCTTTGGTGCATCTTTCACAAAATTGATGGTGGTCTTGTCGCTATCGATGCGAATCTCGTTAACCCGATTTGATGCACGTACGTTCTCCATAATGAATGATAAGATCCGCGAGCTTTACTGCACTTCAGGTAACTGTACAAATTGTAACTGTGGAAGCAAGTTCTCCAAGCGCTAACAACGTGATGCTCGATTGTGGTCGACGAGGTGGTAATCTGACACTGCGCATTGTAATAGAACGCCGACAGTCTTATATACACTCCATAAGAGCAACAGGCGTTTTTCTTGCAAGGTTCAGGGACAAATAGATATATGCTTAAATTCTAAGCAGAATCGTAAGGCTCGTAACATATTCTTGTAAGAATTTTTAAGTGCTCTTATATCTTTATACAATATTAAAAAAAAATAAATATAAATATTTTTACAGACAGCTTCTTACTAGCTATAAAATTTACAATAAATCGTAAATATTTATAAAAAATCGTATTTCTTACAATACATACGCATAAAATTAGAATAAGTTCTTACAAGTTTTATGAGAACACGTGTTACAAGTCTTACGGTTCTGCTTAGAATTGACCCGATAGTTTAGGATACTTAAGATCTGTGATGCTCCCGTTTTTAATATCGTAAGATATCTATACAATCAGCCTTGGATCGATCCGCGGTGATCACATAATTATACCATATAATTGTATAATTTTGCAGCGATTTATTACGATAAATTGGATTTTATTTTTTACTAAGTTTTCCAGTAAAAAGAGTTACATTACCAGAGGAAACCTGTGCTGAAAAAAATAGTTAGCTGAAATAGAAAATAGTAAATACATTTTTAGTGTAGGGAAAAAATTGAAATAAATTCATTAAAAATATTTATTTAAAGGATGCGTTTATAAAAGTATTATTTGAAATAAATATCTTGTAGTAAATATAAGGAAGGCAAATAATATTTACTATATATATTAACATTTAATTGAAATAAGATAATACTTATTTCGATATTTCACGGTTAAACAAAATACTTCTATTTTCTATTTTCAATTTATTATTTTCTATTTTTTAACAGTACAAAATTAAAAAATAGTATAAATAAAATAAAAAAACAGCATATGTTTCATAGATACATAGAGTGTCCAAGACTTCGCGTGTGACACTCGTCACGAAATTGTATAAATTCATAAGAAATATTATTAGGAAAAATCGCCTTGACCGAATATGGCGTTTTTATTCATGTATATTTAATCCAAGTGATCTATTTTCACTTAAGAATGCTCATAAAGTTTTATCAGGACTTTATGGCTTTATGGCTTTATAGCTTGGAATTAACAACAATTTCATGTTATCATGAATCTAATTCGTGATATACAGATACAAAATTCTGACGATTTGCTATTAAAAATTTGCAAAGTGTGTAACGTATAACTGCGCCTGTTGCATACAAAAATAAAAAATAATTTCTATTTAACATCGTCGTCAATTGTCGTGAGTATCGTCATTAGTGCAAATTGCAAGAGATAATATGCGTCCTTGTAGTTTAACACTCGAATACTTGTTAATTCATGTAAGACATTAACTGACATCGAAAAACGATTGAATTAATTGATATTTTTATGGGACTTAATCGATGCTTGATTCATTAATTTTTGCTGATAAATAGTAGATTCTTAATATAATAGAAAATTAGTATCGCTTCATTACATAATTTAAAACTTTAAATTATAATAATTGAATGCGATTATTACTACCACAATTTGCTTATTATAATTTGTACTGTATATCAAGATTGAAATTTCTCATAAATATAATCATTTTTCTCAAAGTTTCGTCTTTATGATTGATGGCCAGATTTTTAATTAGAATTGCATTTGGAGATTGAGAAGGCCAATCCATTGATTAATACACTGTAAAAAATGCAGTTTAAAATGTTTACGTTTAAAACATCTTTGTAAAACAAACGTTTAATAATGAAAAAACCGTTTAATATTTCAATTTTAAACGTTAATCAATGCTCGATTCATTAAACGTTTTAAATCCAAACAGTGTTTTGTTTATTGAAAACCTTTAAAACTGAAACATCTTTAAAAAATAAAAACAAGAATAAACATTTTAATATCTTAAAATTAAACACTTCTTTTGTGATTGTATCATTTTTAGTTTGCCAAAATTCCGAAGAAGCACGTCTGGTAAAAAGCAGAATAATACCCGATAAACTATAATAATGGTGATTGAATGCCATAATAATTGTAAGTAAATGCATTTTATAATTAATGAATGTAATGTACTTTTAAAATATAACTTTAATTTTTAATATACTCGGTTTAGAGAATTGCTGATGACGTTCTTGTGCCACTGACTGTATATCCCTTATCTGTATGTAAATGTTTACAGTGTTGCTGCTGATGTCGATCGTTTACGCCCTTACACGAGCAATTGTGCTACTATGGAGAACGGAACATGCCAAAGACAACGACATTCCAATCTATCTGCTCGAAGATCACCGCGATAATCGTAATTGTTCTGGAATCGAACATGGTATCTTGAAGACTGCCACAGTTAGAATCACGTAGTTCAAGGTTATTCTAAATACATGTATGACTTTCCCTTCTTACCTATTCTCATTTTAAACCCAAACAGTATATGTAAAATCAGAGTAATGTAAAAATATACAGTAATGTCTACAACTTGTTCGCATTACTTATCACAAAGCGAGGCGAGTAACGTGATTATTTTCTGGTCCACGAAATACATTTTTCCATAATGAAAGAATCGATTAAAAAACCGTTTATTAACTTCTATGATTTTTGATCGACTAAATACACTGTTCGTTTTCGTTACAAATAATCTATTAACAAGCTAATACTATTCAGCGACTCAATGATTTAAAATTTAAATAGCATGGAGGTACAGCAGGAATTACGAAGCATCTTCATGGCCGTATATGTTCCCCTACTGTGTGTCCTTTGATCGTGGCACTCGATAAGCTAGACTATAGACAATCGATAAACGATCGACAATGAAACCTAACGGCCTCAACAAAGTATAATTTCTCAAGCATTTCTCGCAGCCTTTCAAATTGGAAGAGGTAGCGAATCCTGAATGAATATATTATAGCTAGTTTCCGCGTTCGATTGGAAAAGAGGACAAAACAGCTAGGCGACAGTAAGGTTTTGTGAAAAGTTGCTCAACAGGATGCTTTAGAGGATTTATATCAAAAAGATAAAAAAGCTGTCCTTGAAACATAGGGTGAATTGTATGATTCAATCGCCTTGAATGTCTGTTGTTAGTGAACCGATTCAAATTTTTGTTGTCTCGAACAGTTTTATGCGAATAGGATAATAAATCATTGCATTTTTATTACCGATACGAATATGTCATTTATTTTTTAACATCGTACTTACAATTACTTGACATCGAAACTCAATCACTGTGTATTAATGTTGTCTATATATCTATCCATACAAATATCCTAATATATTTTATTCTATTATCTATTAAATATTATCTATTAAAATATTATACTCGTGATATAGATTAATAAAATAAAAAAAAGGAGATGAATAACGTAAAAAATTTTGTATGATAATATTTGCTAAGGAATATTTACTAATATTGCAATCGTTATATATATATATATATATATAATATTAAAAATCATTCATAGAAATAACATGTTTAATTTTTTGCAAGTCAATAAACCGAATTGAGCTTTGATAAAAATAACTGTAGGTATTTTTGGATTTTACAATCGTAATCTGTTGAGATAAGATAAAACAGTTTAAGTGACCGATAGACCTCGAGTGAATGGTCAATCAAAGCGAATTGCTATCATTTACTATTAAATGTATATATCGTTCATTATGCATATATAATTCTCCGACCAAAACGTGATCGCTTTCTGACGTACTTTCAATAGTACAATTCCTTTTACTTATAATAAAAATGCGCATATGTTTATATAGTAGGGGAAAATTGAATCGTATCAACATATGGAATGTGCTCCTATCTGTCCTATTGAAGGAATTTAATTTCTCATATATATATATGAGAAATTAATATATACGCAGATTTAAAACGGAATTAAACCACGAAATAGATGTTATTGTGCCGTTATGTAAAATCTGTATTTTATAATTTGAAATATTTGCATTTTACTTTTACACGGATTAAATCTGCGTATAATGGCTTTAATGTACACTAATGTGCACTAGTACGTTCAACTGAATTTGCTATTAGTTTCGTATGTAATGAGCGAAAAAAAAGATAGAATAAAGATTACAGCGTGTCGAGCGCCCCGAACGAATGCCCCTTATGTTTACGAGCGCCTTAGTACCTAAGCGTCGAGCGGCATTTGGATTGCGCGCGGGGCGATGCGATGAGGGGGATAGCGAGAGGCGGAGCCGACTCGAAAATCGGCCGAAATGTGCATTTCGTGCCGAGCCCTGATTTATATCATGATGTTACATATAAAATTTATATCCGTCGGTTACGTGCGATTGTCTGATGCTATTGTAGATTTTTGAAAGAACTAAAAAAGAAAAAAACCACAAAAAAAACCATTAATAATCAAAATTATGTCAATTAATTTTTAATGCAATCACGTTTCGTCAAATGTGATTCTTAATATGCTCACCACGTATTCGTTGATATATGTTCCTCTAAAAAGTCCACAATTCTTTTTCAACACAGCGTTATCTGAAATGATTAAAAATTTTAATATTGGAACTTTAATATTTTAAAATAACTTCTGTCGACTAAATCGTTATGACCACTTACATAAACAGAGGTGACATTTATATTTTGTATTTTCAGAAAGAGAAAGGGAAATTTTGTAGGAAGGGATGAAAACTAATTACTGCGAAGAGGGGGTATTACCAATGATAGAAGAATACGTTTCTGGAAAACGTTCCGTGTCATTTTGTTTATTCAGACTATTTTTCTGTTTCTTTATGTGGATCATTTCTGAGACCAATCGTTTGTAATATGATAGTTCGGAATCGATTATGTTCGTATTATTCCAATCAATTTCGTGATCGAAATCTAATATATGCTGGAATATGACAGACAAATTATTTGTTGGTTTTTTGTAGTTATTTTTATGTTCCTTTAGTCTGATATTGAGTTTTCGTTTGGTTTGTCCAACATATGTGCAATCGCAATCACGACAACTTATTTTATATATTACATTCGACCAGTCTTCTTTTTTAATTGTGTCTACTTGTTTTTATAAATGAACGTTTAAAGACTATTTAAAGGT